GATAGATTTAAAGAGACAGAGATAGAAAGATTATAATAAGAGAGATAGAGAAATGGATATAATATTGGTATGCTGATACATATTTACATCTGTAAAAGACTAAGCAAGCGCCCTATGCTCTAAATAGATAAGCAACAGGTTTTATTTGTAGACAAGCAGTTACAGCTTTTAGTTATGAGAGCAACAGGAAGAGAGATAGAAAAGAAGTTAGTCGCTCAGAAAGTATTCAACTCTCTCCTTGTGCGTTTCTCTGCTTTCTTTTCCACGACTCTACTGAAATGCTCTTGTTCTGCTGCTCAAAAGATAGGTCAACCTTTATGAATCTCTAGTCCTTGTTGAGGGATCCCACTCACAGGTACCTTTGTTTCATGGTTCTTCAACATTTTAATAAGTCTCACTGCTCGTTTGCTATCTCCGTTGTTGTATAAATTGCTTGCTATCTCCACTCCCTGACCTATTCACAGCAGCTTAACTCGGCTTGTATAATTTGCTTGCTATCTCCACTCGCTGGCCTTTTCGTAACTACTTAACTCAGCTAGTATAATATGCTTGCTATCTCGTCACGCTGGCCTATTCGTAGCAGCATAACTCATCTTGTGTTTGCTTGCTATTTCCGCTCGCTGGTCTATTCACAGCTGCTTAACCCAGCTTGTATTTTGCTTGCTATCACTGCTCCGTTTCATGACCCTCATCGCTCGCTGTCCTTTCCTCAGGTGTTCAACCTGCTGGTTCTTACGGTCATCGACGCCTGGCCGAGACATGACACCGGGGAGCATCAGTTCATGGTGGCTGTGAGTACACACACACACACACACACACACACACACACACACACACACACACACACAAGTTCACAAAACAAGGTTTCGAAATATCCCATCTGTCCCGACCTTGCTTCACAACGACCCATGAGAGCAAACAGAATAGATACGTCACTTGAGACTTTTCCTTTTCTTTCAGCAAATAAAGGCTAGTTCCTCGACATGCTTCTGTCACTATGTCATGATATGTTAACAAGTTGTGTTTAGTTCAAATATAGATCTCTATCGCTGGATGAAAATATCTTCACATCTTACTGATACGATTTCTGACATGTCTTCTTTTTGGGAGAAGGACTTCCGTGGGCCAACCATAGATTTATATTGAACTAATATACTACTAGGTCGTTCACTGAGACACACAAACATACATACACACACACACACATACATACACACATACATACACACACACACTCATACACACACATACACACACACACACACATACACACACAACACACACACATACA